CCGTGCGCACGCGCGCCCGGCACCGCAATCCCCCGCCAGCCTCCTGCAGGCACAATCGCATGCACACCTGCACACACTCACACTCACCCTGACCTGCTAACCCCATCACGACCACATTCCGCGGTTCCCACGCTCGCTCACTTACCACCAACCTTCCCTCACACTTACCCAGCCACACTCATTACATCACAATCACACTTTCACTGACATCCCATTGACATCCAGACACCCTGACGCTTTCCTCCTGTTCATTTCCTCCCGCCCACTCCCTCACCAGCTTCAAACGTTCACAACCACAATGGCACTGTGCACACACACACCTGTCACACTCACCCCTATTGGCACCTTCCATCCACCCACCCTGGATTTCAGGCTTTGCAGAGATCAGTCACACTCATTTCTCACACATGTTCTCCCTCCGTCAAACCATATACACACACTCACATTCACTTCCACGGTCCTTCTACATTTACTACCCAACCACCTTCTCAGTCACTGGGACATACTCAGTCTCAAAATCACCATGTTCCTCTTGGATTCATAATCTCATGCACACTCAACTCTTCCACCCCAACACCCTAGTGTACTTTCACATCACTTCCTCATGAACACCACCCCCCCATCACCTTCACGGCCATTGTCTCTCCACTTCCTCACTCCAGAATGCTCCCATACAATGCCTGGTGGTGGTGGTGGTGGTGGTGGTGGTGGTGAAGTGCCTTCGAGTGGATTCTCACCCATAGTGACACTCTATAGGGTTTCCAAGGAGCAGCTGGTGAGCTTGAACCACCAACCTTGCAGTTCAAATGACTTTTCAGTGTGGCGCATTAACCCACAGCACCACACCAGGTGGTAGTGGTGGTGGTTATATGCTGTGGAGTCAGTTTAGACTCATAGCAACGCTGCATAGGGTTTCCGAGGCTATAAATCTTTCCAGGAGCAGAAAGCCTCATCTTTCTCCTGCAGAATGGCTGGTAGTTTCAAACTTCTGACCTTAAGGTTAGCAGTCTGATTCAAAACCACTAAGTTACCAGAGCTCCTTCATACAAAGCCTGGGGCCCACACAAGTTTTGAGAACAGAAAAATAAATAATGACAGGAGGAAAATTTTTAAAAGGCCAAAAGAAGGAAAGGATCAACATGTAATTATTGTTGTTAAGTGCCGTCGAGTCAGTTCCAACCCATAGCGACCCTGTACAGGGTTTCCAAGGCTGTAAATCTTTCTCCCACAGAACCGCTGGTAGTTTCGAACTGCTAACCTTGCGTTTCACAGCCTGATTTGAAACCACTACGCTACCAGAGTTCCCAACATGTAATTGTTGTTGTTGTTGTTAAGTGCCGACGAGTCGGTTCCGACCCATAGCGACCCTGTACAGGGTTTCCGAGGGTGTAAATCTTTACGGGAGTAGAAAGCCTCATCTTTCTCCCAGTTTCGAACCGCTGACCTTAAGGTTCGCGGCCGGATTCGTAACCACTATGCTTGGATAGCCTCAAACTATAATACAGTGTAAACTAGTCTACTGCAACTTAAGTAATCACGCCTAACAATATTTCACTTGGGGTGTGGGTGCCTTTTAATACATTGGCTGGTCAGAGTGGAACCACCAAAGATTTGAGTGTCTGGGGCCCTGGGAAAAAGAAGGAGGAGCTAGGGAGACTATTAGAAGAACCCCAAACCAAGCAGTGTGACTTATCTCATATCCCAATGAAGTTACTCAAGCAGAGAAGCTGGTCATTAGAAGTTTCTGCATTGCCAGTTTAATGGAAAAACAGCATTCTAATATGTCTGATAGACCTGCTCTGGTCTGGGATCTGCTCTCCCTTATGTGTAGGATGGTAAATGGCACATAGCTTGGCTCACAGGTGGTACTTAATAACTGCTTGTTGAGTAGCTGAAAGGTAAGCACCAGATCTACCAATTATGGCATCAGAGAAGGCCCCACCCTCTCCAGCTGCTACCCTGGATGTCCCTCCCAAAGCTCACCCCACTTCTGATCAACTGCAAACCCCATCTGCCCTTCTCTCCAATCCACCTCCACGTAGGGTTCCAGAGAAGACCAATGAGAGAGTAAATACGACCAACTCATAAAAGTAAGCTACTGCTTTTCCCAAGCACCTACAACATACATAGAGTTCCACCTTTAGTCCTCCCAACAGCCCTGCCATTTTCTACCCCATTTTCCAAAAGATAAACCAAAGCTACTGCCGTCGAATGGATTCTGACTCATAGTGATCTAATAGAACAACTAGAACTCCCCGTAAGGTTCCTAAGGCTGTAATCTTTACTGACTGCTGCCTCTTTCTCCCTCTGAGTAGTTGCTGGGGTTGAACCAACAACCTTTTGGTTAGCAGCCAAGTGCTTAACCAACTGTGCCACCACAGCTCCTTCAAATCCATTGTATTGGTAAAAATAACAAGTGTAAGTCAAAAGTATTGCTACAAAGTCATGTTGTTGTTGTTAAGTGCTGTGGAGTCAATTCCGACCCATAGCGACCCTGTTTAGGGTTTCCAAGGAAACTGGTGAGCTTGAATCACCAACTTTGCAGTTCAAACAACTTTGCAGTCCAGCACGTTAACCCAAAGCACTACACCAGAACTCCACAACGCCACAGAACCCCTTAATCAGCAAAAATACCAAAATGTGAAGCTCTTGTTTCTCAACATAACCTCCATCTAGGTCTATATAGCTCTGAAGGCGGTGTTTCCATCTGTTTCCTGAAGAATTCTGTGCTCTGCCATTTATATCAAAAAGACAGTCTGGTTATCCTAGAAGGACTCAAATTGTGTTCCTTTTAAATGTTGAAAGTGGGGGACAAAAAGAAGTCTGAAGGAGCAAGATATGGGATGTAGGACTGATGGGGTAAGGTTTCCCAATGAAACTTTTGATACGACAGCCCATCCTTACAGCGACAGAATGAGAAAGTGCATTGTCACGATGGAAAATAATTCCTGAGTGCAAGTTTCCTGGTCTTTTTCTCATCAATGTAGTTTTCCATTTTCTTAAAATTTCTTCATAATAAGCCCTGTGATTGTCTTGTGGGCTTCAAGAGGATCTATCAAGATTACCTCTTAGGTTTGCCCAAAAACATTGGCCATAACCCTCCAAGCTAATCTCCCTGCTTTGAATTTAACTGGCCCAGCAGATCCCCTCAGAAGCAGCAATTCTGATCAGACCATTTGTTTTGAAGACACCCCAACCAGACCAAGACAGGGCCATTACTGAGAGAACTTGTCTGCAGACCGATTGATTGCAAAGGAATGTTCATACACATATTATTTTGAATAAACCTGTGTGTGTATAACCCAGAACCCTAGCAGCAATTTTTTTTTTACTTACTTTTGTGTACTCTACTTCTACGCACCCCCCCTTCCAGTGAACACATACTGCTTTTAAAATAAATATTTTCTCCAAATTAAAAAAAATTAAAGCTCAAAGTCCTTTATTATTTTGTTAAGGATGATGAAAAACTTTGGAAACAGATAATGGGGAAGACTAAAAACACCATGTCACTGAAACATACATGTGAAGAATATTAAAATGCCAAATGTACTACCATTCTCCCTCCACACACCTGAGTCCCTTATTGCATTCTAAAGGTAACATAGCATTTCTTGTATGAAGTGAAAAAAGTGGGGGAAATTATAGGTAGATTTTATTGATAATATGCATTTTATAAATTTTCTCCAGTGTGCTTTTATAATCTGGAACAGAAAATGTATCTTTGAAAGAATCCCTCCCAGGGAGGCACTCTCTGAGAGGAAATGGGGCACTCTGGAAGACTTTTTTTTTTTAACCTCATCTAAAGAGAGATAGCTGTTAACCACAAGGTTGGTGGTTCAAACCCACCAACTGTCCCTTGAACACCCTATTACTGGGCCACTATGAGTCAGGACTGACTCAACAGAGTTAACAACAAAGAGAGATTCAGATCCAGAGAGGTTCCCTGGGGCCAGAGAGAGTAATGACAGGGTCTAGGAGAAGGTCATGTTAGACCCTCACTGAGGAGGGATCCAGCGCTCCTCTGTCTGACCCAGCCCTGCACTCTTCTCTTTCTGAGGATCTACCCTCTCCAGTGGCCCAAGATGGGTCCTCTTTTGTTAACAATCCCATTCCCAGCCCCAGCCCCTAACTTCAGGCTCCTAGGAGCAGCTGGGTCTACAAGAGATAAGCCAATCTTGTCTATCATCTGCTTTCCCAAAACCCCAGGCACTGAGGCAAAAAAAAAAAAAAAAAAGAGACCTGTGGGTTAGGTGTTGGGCTGCTAACTACAAGGTTGCTGGTTCAAACCCAACAACTACTCCAAAAGAGATCCATAAAGCTGTCCGCTCCAGTAAATATTTACTGTCTTGGAACACCTATAGAGGAGTCGCTGTGAGTCAATGTCTGTGGGTTTTGGGCTTTTTTGGCTGGAAACCCAGAGAGATTACCTGACTTTGCCAACAGAGGGTAGGACCAGCTAGAATATATATCTTGAGACTCTCCGTACAGTGCTCTTTCCCCATGAAACCTTCTTTTCATAGATCTTCAAGCAGACTTCTGTTTAGCTTGACCTGTAAGGAAGGTGATGTGTTGGTGGTGAGTGGACTAGATTCCAGGGCAATGATGCAA